TTGGGGGAAATAATAATCACATAAGGGGGAAGAATAAAATCCTAGGCTTGTTTACTCTGATAAATTTTCGTGTTTAATTTGCTTTCTTGCTTTGTCGTTTTAATTTGCTTTTTAATTTATTTTTGTTAATTTCTCTAAATTCGACTGTGTAAGGTGGACTTGATAATAATTGGTAGAATTTAGCGTCTAGGATTAAATAATTAAATATTCTCTGTGGGTTCGATATCCGGACTTTTAATCCACTATATTACTTGTACGATACGTGCACTTGCGTGTAGGTGTTTCACCCAACAGACGTACGTTGCACGTCTCTTCGTTTTTTTATATGACTTGAAATACTCAAATATTAAAATAACAGAATCTAATTGTATTTTTTACATATGGATGGAGCTTCATACTTTTTCCTGTTTCTATTTATATAGGCAAAATGAGTTTTTTAGTTCTGTAAGTTTACGAGCTGGGAGTTTTAGTCCACCATATTTCAAAAATCAGGATTTTAGTCCTGTAAGTTATAAAAGTTGGGAGTATTGGTCCTATGACCTGCTACAACAAGTAATGTGATGGTTGGTTGAATGAGTTGGCATTTAAAATATAAAAATAAATAGATTAAAAATAAATTAGATACTGTGGCTAATGTATTGGACGATTTTGGAGGGAAAAATATACCATTAAATTAGAATAAAATATCACAACAATTTAAAATACTGTTAGAATAGATGACTGGCGCAATCAATTAGATAATTAAGCTAACACATTTTTTTTTTTGAGTAAATTCAAGTCCATTACAAGGGGAATTATGGGAGGGGGAGGACTCGAACCCTAGACCTTTACCCTATTGGTAAAGACTAGGTACCAACTCTCCTAATGAGGGTTAGTATCTAACGCATTGTATTTATTAATGTAGATTCTCGTAAAATGACAACATACTCTAGTCAAACTAATGAATAGTAGAGATAGGGGTGAAAGTCGGATGGATCGGATCGGAATTAGCCTTTTCGGACAATTTCCAAAAACATTTGGAAGTACAAAATCAATTCCAATTCCAATTCCAAAATGTTCGGAATCAAAAAATTCATTCCAATTCCAAAAGGCCCGGAAATTTCGGAATTTTGGAAAAAAATCGGAAATCACATAAGCTTTAAATTTTCAAAACGTAGCCGAAATTTTCTGAAATTTTCATAATTTTTCAAAAATAAGAACATCCACGTCGATGAAAGTAAAACTAATAACTACTAAATTTCAGTTCAAAAAAATAAATAAAAATAAACACTGCATAATATCCAATAAAACTTCTAACAACAATTCATTATGTCAAAATCCTAAAACAAAACTTATAGGTGTATTTTTTGGAAAATAAGTATTATATAATATATACTGTTTATAGGTGTACTTTTCGGAAAAAAATCGGACTTTTTCGGAATTAATTTCGGAATTAAATCGGATCGAAAATCGGAAATTCTAAATTTATTTTATATAATTCCAATTCCAATCCAAAAAAATCGGAAAAAATTTCGGAAATCGTAATTTCGGAAGTCGGAATGAAAAAAGTTGTTCCAAAATCGGAACTTTTCGAATCGAAACCGGCGGAAATTGGAAAATCCGTTCGAACTTGCACCCCTAAGTAGAGATTAAATTCCAACTCATCTAGAAGTTAAACACAATAATATTGTTATATTAATCTCTAGCACAATAATTGTAATTCAACAAAAGTCATTATTATTGTGTAAATAGAGTAATATTAACATGTTGACCGTTCAACAAAGGTAAACATAATAAAAAGTCGAAAGAATTAATATTGATGTGGTTGACAGTAATATTACTGTCAGTGTTCTAAAAATCGGTCGAGGCAGCCAATGAATCGGTCTCCAAGGTAGATGCGGTCCCAAACGTTTACGATTTTAGTGTAAAGATTTGAAAAATTGATTTTTTGCTTGTGAGGCGGTTTTAGGCGGTCCGAGGCGGTCAAACCTTTAAGGCGGGTCAAACTCGTTGGCAAAAATCGGCCAAAAATCGGTCAAAAATCGGTTTTTGTATTTTATTTTTTATAATTCAAAATAAAAATTGGGATTTTAATAAAAAAAAAAAAGGGGAAACTACAGTTTACACCCCTGAACTATGGGGTCTGTCACAATCACCCCCTTGAACTACAAAACGTAACAAAATAGCCCCTTCGTTTCGAATCTATTAGTGGATGATGACGTGGCACATTGACTTTATTGTTTCTAGCCATTTTTATACCCGTTGAAACCCTTTTTGACCCTTTTGCCCCCCAAACTAGTATATGTATGCTTGTGTGTTAAAGAGATTTTCAAGAACTTTTTTTCTTCATCATATTCCATTATTTTCACCTTTGAAATTTTTTCACCTCTTTTTTCCTTCTTATAAACCACGCAATATCCCTTTTTTTTTTTTGACAAGTATTGATAAATGTCCAGTTATAGCTCAAATTCACAAGATTATTGTTATTCATGTCACAAACAGATTCGAAACTCCCCCCATAGTTAATTGTAAGTGTATACAGCTGATCACAAAACATGTTTCCCTAAAAAAAAGAAAAAAAATCAATTAATCAATTGGACGTAAGATGCAGATAAAAAAACCCCAAAATTAAATCTTGATACCAAAATAAAGAAATCCCCACAAAAAAATCACAATATTTATGGAAATTGTTCTGGTAAATACTAATTAAGTTACCAACAAAAATCCAAAAAGTAAATCTTAAGACCAAATCAAATTAGTTCACCGAAAATTCGAAAAAGATTTATGCAAAACCCAATTTTCTCAAAATCGTGCATTAATTTTGTGAAAACCCTAATTTACCATCGAAATGGACAAAATAAACACCATAAACACAAGAATTTTGTTTCTAAATCAATCCCCTGACATAAATACGAAAAAAAGAGAGGGGGAATTGACCAAGTCGCGATTTGCAGTTGAAAGCCTAAAAGCAACACTAACCTTTGTCTCTCTTCAAATTTTTTGATTTTTCGCCTCCAAATTTCTTCAGATGTCTTGAGACATCAAAACTTTCAGACGATCTAAACCATGGAACAATTTCAACGAAGAAATTAGATTTTTGGAAAATTTCGATCTTACGTTGAGTGAAGGAGAAAAGTTTTTTTGTTTAAGTAAGAGGAATGAGAAGTCTGCACACAATACATATCTTTTTTGTCTAAGTAAGAGGAATGATCAGAAGCCTGCACACAATACAGACCGTGTTAGAGTCACAAGGGTACATAAGTAATTACACTATTCAATTAACGGTGCGTTTGACCAAAAAACAGATGGGCCATTTTGTTACGTTTTGTAGTTCAAGGAGGTGTTTGTGACAGACTCCATAGTTCAGGGGTGCAAACTGTAGTTTCCTTTAAAAAAATATGAGTTTATGCAATATTTTGTTTATGTTAATTGTTAAAGAACAAATGATGTATGCCAGGAATGTTCAAGAATAAATGTAAATTCAAAAAAAATGCCTTTTCATTTATATTTTATAAGGAGATTTATGTATTATGATCTTATTATTATTCAACTTTTATTATGTTATTTGGATATATAATGATGGAGATTTAATTATGGTTAAATATCTTTTTATAGATGTTTCGAGTATTTATAAATAATATCTAGAAATGTATTATATTAAATTTTAAAAACCGATTTATTTTCGATTTATCACCAATTAATGACCGCCGCACCGATTAATAGTGAGTCGGTGTCTGATCGCCTCCGACCCGATTACCGCTTTTTACAACCTTGATAATATTACTTTAACAACAGTAATATTACCGTCAACCACAGTAATATTAATTGTGTTTACAGTAATATTACAATAGTAGACAGTAATATTATTACGTTAATCCGTCAACAACCGAAACAAAACGAAAACCCCAAAAAAAATAATATTGATGTGGTTGACAGTAATATTATTGTGTTTATAGTTATTTTACCGTCAATGACAGTAATATATTTACGTTGACTTGTCAACAAATTAAACAAAATAAATAAATAAAAAAGGCAAAAAAATAATAATATTGTCGCTGACTTCAATTGTACTGTCAACCATAGTACAATTACTTTAATGTACTGTTAGTGACATTATAATTATTGTTAATGACAGTACAATTACGATCAACATTTAGCGACGGGAGAAAAAAAAATGCTAAAAAAAAATAAAAATAAAAGTCAACGCCGAAAACTGGCGGCGAAAAAAAATTTGAAAAGTCAACGCCGGAAACCGGGGGCTAAAAAATAATTTCAGAAAAAAAATAAAAAGTCGTCAAACTTGGATTTTTTGGTCAAAATTGATTAAATTGGGGGTTACAATTAATAATTTGGTGTAAATGGTTAGGGGTAATTTTGTCATGTACATTAATTTTTCCTTTATTTATAATGCATATTAAATGAATGAGCATATTAACGAAAAATATATAACTCGTGAACCTAGGATAAAAAGATGGTTGATAAGGGACTTATGCACAAAATCTCATAAATTTAGTGTTACAATGTTCGTTGCATTGGTTAGTCTATTTTACATCTATATTGTCAAAAACAAATAACTTTGTATTCTAGGTAAATAAACTTTCAAAATGATATTATGCGTGTTATATCCAACCATTTAAAATAAAAGACTAAGCAATAAACATAAATGCAAATAATATTCGAATGCAGATTCCCATCAAAATATAAGATGTTATGTGATTAATTACTTCATACAATTATGTAGATTAAAACGAAGATTTTTAGTCTACTATCTCAACAAATGCCAATACACTACAAGAAATAATCTTTAATAGTTAAAAATTATGTATAATAAATTCTTTAGCTAAAAATATCTTATCAGTAGAGAAGTGGATTTATCAGATGAACGTTACGTTTGTGTCTGCGGGTTCCCGTATCAACGAAAAATAAAAGAAAGTGTGTTAAGCATATAAGTAAAGATAAAGATTGTCAAAATGGTTCAACACCGATATATATATATACAATCCATCGGATCACGAAAAGCCTTAACTACAAACAAGCTCCAAGGCTTTCAATAGGGTATTCCTAAATCTATTCAAGTCAACATTAACATCTTGATTATCCATATAAATAGGACGAAAAACAGGCCATCCCTTACCCTTATCATACAAACCATCAGGATTTTTATATACTTCACTGTCCGGCGGGTACCTCCCAAACAACGAGCTTTCGTTCAAACTCACCTTGTACTCTAAATACCTCAACTTCATGTCTTTCGCAGGTTCTTCAAAGTACGGCTTAGCTACAATGTCCACTCCAAATGGCACAATTTGTATCACGACTGCATTTTCCGGAAGAAAAACCATGTTTGTAATGCCAGCCCCGTGCACTCCAATCATAACATCGAAACTATTCACAAATTTGGACATTTTTGATACCTCCCACCCTATTTCTCTTACAACAACCTCGAATCCCAACCTTTGAGACATGTTTGCTATTTCGTCTTCGTTCGTCAAATGTCGGCTTCCTTTTCTTGAAATGATGAGCAACCGAGGGCGAGTTTTCTTGCAATCGGTGTTTACGAATTCTTTGTCCAAAGAATACGTGCTTCTTAGAAACTTGGTGAAATCAGTAGTGGAAATATGTGGGGATTCCGAAGAGTCAATGTTTAACTCTTTGTCGGCTTTGAGCCCAACTATCATTCTTGGAAAACATAGTACGTCTTTTTCGTTATTAATGTCGATAATTGTTTCGTTAGAGAGATTCTGTAATATTAGTCTGTACTTAGAAATCCACCAAGAAGACTTGTCGGATACAAGAAATATTACATTTTTATTAAATTGTTGGGAAGTTGAGTAGAGTGGAATGAGCAGGTCCGTGTAGTCGTGGAAATTGTTTCCAGCGTATCCTCGGGATGAGAAAATTATCGCCGGATAGGTGAAGTTGCGGTTGCATTGAGGTATTACTTTTTCTAGGGTTTGGTGAATTATCGTGAATTCTCTTACCCTCTCCATTGCAATGTCATCGTGTAACCGCGCATAAGGTTTTGTGGTCCAATTAAAATTTATGGGGTGTTGTGGGATTGAAGGTATGAAGATGGTGGATGAATTGCCATGGATTCTTATGTCACCATTTATTTCGTAGACTTGTGATCTTGAGTTTGTGAAGTTTTGAAGAATTGGGTTTACACTCCCTGCATGAATTAAGAGAAGCAATTGAATTAACAAATTTTGATCTAAATAAAATAAAATAAAAAATAGCTCCAAGTCCCCTACAAGGGAACTATAATCAAAAAGCACGAGGACAAGCCTATTATTCGTTTTACTTAAAGTCTTTCAATCTAACATTTTGATTTCTATAAATCCTTTCACTTGTTTTACATATCATTTAACTAGTTTTACACATAATTTAATTAATAGGCATGAGACAAAAAATTCATTTACCCAAAAAGGTAGAAAAGTGTATCTTTTACCCAAAACACAAAAAATACCCATCTAATTTTAATTGACTAAAGTTTCATATGATAAACCCTAAATTTAACCCCAATTTCATGAATCTAACAGTGTTGAATTGTTTTTATTTTATTTTTGCCGCCATTGATCGAAGTTGACAGCCAATTAACGTTGTTGATATTTTTTTCCCCTTTTCGAGTCAGCTCAGTACTATTACTGTATAACTGTATAGACATTGTAATATAAAAATAAATAAAAAATTACACAGTAATATTACTATGTTGCACAGTAGTATTACTATGTTTACTAGTCAACAAGCAAAAAAAATTAATATTACTGAAAAACACTGTAATATAATTAATGTATTGACCAGTCAACGCAATAACGAAAAAAGTGAAAAAAAAAATATACAATTAGGGAAACATAGGTGATATTTTCTTATGTTTCTAATGATATTTTCTAGTTTTCAAAATTTCTGATGGAAAAAATAGATGAATTGGTTTTTGTGTAGAAAATGAGAATATGTTTGGATGAAGTACAATTTTAAGTTTCATATAGATATGAAAAATGAGAATATGTTTGATTGTGTTCTACACGAAAATACGTGCAAAAGTAGAATATTTATCATTGAATATAATTGTGATGATGATGATGATGATGATGATGGTGGTAGTTATTATTATTATTATTATTATTATTATTATTATTATTATTATTATTATTATTATTATTATTATTATTATTATTATTATTATTATTATTATTATTATTATTATAAGGCTAAAAAGAGAGGGAGGGTAAAATTATAATGATAGAGGAATTGGAGGAGAAAATGTATATATTAATAGTTTGAGATGAATAGAAGGAGAGAGAAATGAGTTGAATGAATAAAATATATAGGTTAGTAAGTATTAGTAGGTTTGAATGTTGGAAAACGTATGAATAGTGTATTTTTATTGGAAATTTTGATAGGAAAAAATGTGTGTTTTTAAGTAAAATTCCTAAAACAAACACGATCTCAGTTTTATGAATAGTATAAAAATTGGAAATAAATTTGAAAATGAAAACAAACATGCCCATATACTGCACCAATTGCTCAAGATTTGACCAATATTTAGGGAACTTACTTTTACTCCATGAACTATAAACTAAAAACATTTCACTCTTTTTTTCCAAAATTACACAGTTACATATATTTAACATGAAATAGTTCATTTATAAAAATGAGTAAATAATTTTAACAATTTTAACAATCTACCAAAAGTCAAGTACAATTCAAAAATCATTGGTTCCCCAAATTCCCTTAAGGTGACTCGAATACAATGTGTTTACCAACGTGTTCGAATCCATAACCAAATAGATGTTAGGTACAAGGTGTTTAGCTATTGAATTATCGTATGATCTTTCATTTAACATACTTAACACTCACAATAATAGATTAAAGGTCTTACATGGTTGTTGCCGTTCGCTAACTTCTCTTTTGCTCATCAATATTTGGAGACGAGAACCTATCGACAGTTCCAAAGTCACTGCAAAAAATTACCATAAAAATGTAATTTTTAATTTAATAACTACGCATCAAATTGATTTCGAAATTCAAACAATATGATACATAAAAGAAAATAAAAACCGAGATAGAGAAAAACCGAATTTACGCGCATACAGCAGTGACCATGTCAGATTAAATGGGGATGCGAGACAAAATTTATTAGAGATTATTCGACCAATGATAGATAAAAAAAAAATCGACGGTTTGGAGTGACAAATCCCGAATCTTTTTAGAGCTTATCAACAATAATAGTTATAATAATTACAAATATTTATAAACTTTCATTCAAATATCATAATTTTGTTTTTGGGATTTTTTTTAATCGCATGAGTTGACGGGTAGACATAAGAACAATTAATCCAATAATTCCAATTCTCAGCCGAGCTATGAATTCAATTCAACCCCTTAGACTTTTTACTATTTTGTACTATGAGTAAATGTAAGTCAAAATATAAAATTTATAAAATCTATCTATCAATCCTGATAACCTAAAACATAGATAATTTAAAAACAAATCAAATAAATAAATAAATAATGTTAAAATAAAAAAATAATGAATTTCAGTAATAGCCACAAAATATGATATAAGAATTTATTAATTCACAATTTCAAACCAATTAAATAAGAAATATAATAAATAAATTAAAATAAAACAAGAAGTTAAAAAAAAATTACTTTATAATAACTAGTGGTTATATGTGCATTTATAATTCAAAACACAAAAGTATAGAAAATATGGGGCGCTCACCAGTGGGTAGAGGGCTAAGATTGGGGTTGAGAACAACGCAAAAGAAGAACGTGACAAAGAAGCAACCCGCGGCCAAAAACGCTCGAGATGCCATGTTTTTCTTCTCAAGAAGACTAAAACGCCGGGCTGATTTCGTCTCGTGTCTTATCGTTATTTACTACTAACAAAAACTCAAAATAGCACTACATAATTATAGATATTAGAGAATAGAGCCGGCAGAATACTATTTGTTGCTACAAATTAGTTTTGTGAGAGCTAGAAACCGTGTACCATTATAAAGTTAATGCTTCCCACGATACATTCCCATGGTTTTATTTTCTGCATTTTATAACAACGTTTGTTGGTTGAAATAAAAGGGAAGTTGTGGTTGACTTGACTCAACCAGAGACAAGCATTTGCTTTATTATTATATGGGTAAATTCCACTTTCCCCCTTGTACTTTTACTCGGTATCACTTTACCCCTTTATACTTTCAATTGTATCGAATTGTCCCCTGCACTTGAAAGATTGTTTCAATGTAGCCCTTTCTGTTAGTTGTCAGACATTTGACCTTAACGCCGTTTGATTTAAGCTCTGAACTTACTAAAAGAGGGTAAAGTGATATCGAGTTAATGTACAAGGGGGGAAGTGGAATTAGGTTGGCTTTGCGCCCGGGCCCTGTGAATTATTACTTGCATCGCATTTAGTCCCACAACAATTGAAATTATGTATTTAACACCCTTCAGCCGGACGGCTGAAAAATTAGATCCGCTAGCTCTTTGTTGATGTTTCATCCATTTAACACTCGTTACTAAAATTATTAGTGTTTTGATAGTTTTGGTAAAAAAAAGGGCATGTAGAAAACGAGTATACTCGGGTATCGATCCACATATTGGTTGTATTGGTTTTCATAGTTTAGTTAACTTTTATAATAATTTGGTATGATTTTGGTACGATGTCTATTAAATGGTTATAGTTATAGTATAGAACTTCTTCACGATATCTAGTCTACTGCCATTCCTATTTGAAGGCCAACAATGATGTGTAATTTGGCCATAATATATATATATATATATATATATATATATATATATATATATATATATATATATATATATATATATATATATATATATATATATATATATATATATATATATATATATATATATATATATATATATATATATATATATATATATATATATATATATATATATATATATATATATATATCGACTTATCAATCAATCTTTCACAATTGATTGTGGTGTCTTCATATACTAAGGTTTTTGTCTCTCTATAGGCAACATGTCGCCGTTCCATCCATTTGATTTCCTCTTTTTTTTCATGTTTTGATCTTGCTTCCGCATATGGTAAGTTATACGGGGTTCGTATCAAGAACACTCCAAAGTTAAACCATTACTACAACCAACTCCATTTGAAACCGAACTGCAAGATTCACCTTCATGGCATTGGATAGGAGCAATATCATCTTCGCATAGTGCATCACCATCTTCATCAACTTGAATAATGGAAGTTTTGCGCTCTAGTTAGCTCGACATTAAGTTGGATACTTGGCTGGATTGTATCATCAACTGATATGAACCTCGTAGAACTTGCTACGAGACCTAATACCTTATACAGAAGCAAGATCGAAAAATCCAAAAAACAAGGAATCAAAGGTATTGAACCGCGACCCGTTGCCTATAAAGAGATAAGAACGTTGGTATGTTAAGTCGAGGTAAACACACGGAATCCTCCGATATGTTTGGAAAGTGAATCATGAATTAGAAAGAATAATCTCAATATTTCATTGAAACTTTGTCCATGTAAACATGAAACAAAATAACTAGCAAAAGCAGAGTTAACATAAAAAATATAACCAAACACCGCAATCCTTTCCCCCTCGATGTACTTCATTTCACATCCATCAAATATATATCCATGGCTTATCAATACGATTTGCAAGAACAATTATATTGGATCCACCTCACATAGAATTTCATCTTTATACATCCCAATGGAGAACGATACAAGTACTTGGTTGTGCACCTATAATTCTCCATCCACCTTTAACCATTGTAGCTTGTAGGCTCTAGAATTGATAAGAACCTAACAAGCGCCAAGATGAACAATTGGAAGAAGCGAAAACACATGATTTTGATTGAGGTGTTTGTGTTTGGAATGAAAACAATCAGAGAAATTAATTTTTTTGAAGAGTCCATGGTGTGCGATTGGAAGAAAAGAAAGAGAAGAATTCGTTTGACAAGACGAATTCCATAGATTCCAAAATTCCCGTTTGTTTCTGGCATTGTTACCATTCGGGTCATAACTCTCTCATCTGACGTTGTTTGAATATGATTCTAAATAGTCTCGAAAGACAACGAAAATATCTACAACTTGCATGTTTTAGGCGGATAGATATTCGGAGTGGAACAGTGCCTACATCGAGCTTGAAGTTCCATGCACAACCAAATGTCTACGCGAGTTTAAAATGATGATTGAGAAATCAACTTTGAAGTTTTTGAGTTATATTTATTTATATGTATTACATTACTATATATAGGATTTAAATTATTTTGGTTTAGAGTCCCTTTATGGTTAGAATCAGCTTAATTAGTGTTGACGTTAGATTTTACACTCAATACGTTTACTTTACGTGGATCTTTTGTTTAGATTTAATTACATTTGTGCTTTAATTGAATGATTTTGTTTTTTATAGGTGAAAAACGAGAATTAATTGTTCATGAAGGAAAAATGATAAAAAAAAAAGGGAAAAAGTTGCAAATAAAGAAATAAATCAAATTGGAAGAAGGAATCTCGCAATAGCTTCGGCAGTGTCCACCATTTCGAGCATATCTCTCTCATACGAACTCCAAGTCACCCTATTCTGATTCAAGCGTCATTGGAAAGCTAACTTAAAGGGCTACAATTTGTATTTCATGCAACATTGCAAAATTCGTACTCCAACATGGTCAAAATCGGATTCAAAACCGACCAAAGTGCAGACAAAGCTTCGGACGGCCGTCCCAATTTTGTACTAAAATCTGGCACGGCCGTCACGTCATGCAAAGTTGAGCAGTAGGCTATGAAAATTGAGACGCCCGTCCCAAAATGGCCTGAAATCTTAGATGGCCGTCCGAGACCCCGATTCTGCACAGTTTGGAAGTTTTAATTGCACAAGGAAGATGTTTCATTTAGATCAAGTCTTAACCACTATATAAACACAATTCAATGGGATCCACGACGAAAAAATTGGACACTACAAAACGCGAAGAACGAAGATCGAAGACTCAAGTATAGTTTTTCTAATTTTTTTTATTAATTATATGTTGTTTATCATAAGAATTACGAGTAGCTAAGTCTTTATTTCTAGGATTTTATTCAAACCCTATGTGGGATTTGTGAATCCAATTCTATGATTTTATGGATGTAATAATTTTGATTATTTCTTCTACTTGATTTATTAAGTGCATGAACTTGATCACTCTATGTGCTTTATTGTTATTGTTGAACGCATGAATCGGAAGATCGGTTTAACAATTAAAACTGTGGTAGAAGAGCCTTTGTTGTGTTATCATAGGAATATGGTTAACCTCTTAGGTATACATGATTGAGATTTTTTGTTAATGTTTTGTTCTTGATTGAATTGCGTAGGAATAAAGTAATTTAGTCTTAAATAGTAGAATCGCTTTACACGCGGAAGCGGGTTACAATTAATTTAGCATCTTAGATTAGTAATCTAAGTTAATTGCTTGTATAATTGAGAGAATTGGGGGATCAATAATCACATAGGGGGAGATAAAACCCTATGCTCGTTTAGTTTGATAATCTTCGTGTTTCATTATTTTTCTTGCTATTTAATTTGCGTTTAATTTTTTATTTTAATTTAGTTAATCTTCTCCAAATTAGACTATGTAGGGTGGGCTAGAACATAGTTGTGATCTAGCATTTATGATTAGACAGTTGAATATTCCTCGTAGGATCGAAATCCGGAATTAATTGTCCACTATATTACTTATTCGATACGTGCATTTGCATGTAGGTATTTCGACCAACAATTAGCAGTTTTCTTAGTTTCCTTATTATAGTTTAGGTGTGAGTCATTTTCCTTGTGAAAAAATTGTCTTATTAATAGGTTGCCAGTTTGGCTTATTTTAATGGAATAAATTTGAATACAATGTTGAGATTATTCTCTCTAGTTCTCTAAGAACTTTTCGAACATATCATAGGATTGCGTGCGCTCACCCGACTTATAAATCAATATTTCACAATTGGATGTGGTGTGTTAACATACCAAGATTATTATCTCTCTTTAGGCAACTGGTTGCGGTTCCAGCCCTTTGATTCCTTATTTTTTCGGATGCTTCGATATTGCTTCCGCATAAGGTATCAGGTCTCTTAACAAGTTTTACGGGATTCCTATCAAGAACACTACAAAGTTAAACCGTGAGTACATCTAACTCAATATTAAATCGAACGGCAAAATTTACCTTCATTGCATTGGCTAGGAGCCTTATCATCTTCACGTATTGCATCACCATCTTCATCAACTTCAATAATGGAAGTTTGCACTCCGGTTACCTTGGCGTTAAGTTGTATACTTGGCTGGATTGTATCATCAATTGACACGAACCCTCTAGAACTTGTTACGAGAACCAATACCTTATGTTGAAGCAAGATCGAAACATCAAAAAAACAAGGAATCAAAGGGGTGGAACCGCGACCTGTTGCCTGTAAAGAGACAAGATCATTGGTATATGAAGACGCCACAATCAATTGTGAAAGATCGATTGATAAGTCAGGGTGAACCCACGGAATATCTTTGAAAAGTTAATAAAGAACTAGAGAGAATAATCTCATTATTTTATTCAAAATTCATCCCTGTAAACATGAGTAAAAATAACTAAGAAAAAAGGAGTTAACATTTGAAATAGAATCAAACACCGCAATCATTTTCCTCTCGATGTACTTCATTTCACCTCCATCAAATATCTATGGCTTATCAATACGATTTGCAAGCACAATTGTAACCACCTCACATTGAACTTCATCTTTGTACAACATCCTTCCCAATATAATGGAGAATGATACAAGTATTTGGTTGTGCATCTTGAATTCTCTATCCATATTAAACCCTTGTAGCTCGTAGGGTCTAGAATTGATGGAACTCTGGCAAGCTCCAAGATAAAGAATTGGAAGAAGCGAAAGCGCATGGTTTTGATGAAGGTGTTTGTGTTTGGAATGAAAATAATCAGACCAAGTAAGTTTTTTGAAGAGTCAATAATGTTGGATTGGAAGAAAAGAAAGGAATAAATTCATTGGACAAGCCGAATTTCATGCATTCCAAAATTCCAGAATGTTTCTCGAAGCGTTACCATTTGGGTCAAAACTCTCTCATCTGACGTCGATTTAATATGGTTCAAAAACTCTTGAAAGCCAACGAAACGATCTACAAATTTCATGTTTTTGGCGGACTGATATTCGAAGTGGAATAATGTCTATATCGAGTTTGAAGTTCCATAATGAAACATTCATTTAATTAAGAGGTCTTAAGATATATGTCCCTGCTGACAAAACTTATTAGAACTAAATGAACAGCCCAATTAAACCTTTTGCTTCATATTCTTTATAAAATTAATTCCAAAAATGTCCTCCACACACAACAAATGAAATATACACCAAATAATATTTAAACTGCATTTACCATTTTTTTATTATTTATTAACATATTCCTTTTTGCATCTAATATTTTTTTTATTTTTTTACGTAGAACACGATCTTTTTTTCTTTTTATTTTATTATTTTTCACTATTATAAACATCTATTTTTTTTTCCATTTTTTCCATATAATATTGAAAATTATAATTTATTTTTTTATTTTATTCGGCCATAGTCACCTATAGACATCCGTAGGAACCGTAGTAATCGTAGTCGCCCATAGTTATTTTTATACACAATTTGAAAATCCTAACTTCCCCTTTGAAACCCTAGCCGCCAGTCACAGAGACACTCACAATAATCTATTGTTACTCATAGTCATTCACGGTCATAGTAAAAACGAAACCCTAGATCTGTTACCACAGCCACCATAGTGCTGCATGTCAAAGCCATTGTCTTACTGATACGATCCAGAGATGCTCCATGACAAAGAATTGGAAGACGCGAAAGCGTACGAGTTTAAAGACATTATTCGAGTTGTCCATGGAGAGTAAAGGGCTGAATAAGACTATTGAAGAGTCCGTGGCTTGGAATTGGAAGAAAAGAAAGAGAAGAAGTCGTTGGACAAGTCGAATTCCATGCATCCGAGATTCTCGCCTATTCTGGCAGAGTTTACCATTCGGGTTATAACTCTCGCATCCGAAGTCCGATTGAGATGATTCAAAATGATTCGGAAAGCTAACTGAAAGATCTAAAACTTTTATGTTTTGAGCGAAGATATATTCGAAGTGGAACAGTGTCGAAATTGAGCTTTAATTGCATGCACGTGCACAGCCCAATGTCGCGGGTTAAGAAGGGTGATCGAGAAGCCGACTTGAAGATCAAGTTATCTAATTTAATTATGCACGTTTTTAATTTAGGTTTTTTTATGTTTTTATTATTTTAGAGTCTTTTATGGTTAGGATTTGCTTATTTACAAGTTTCCTTATTATAGTTTAGGTAGGAGTCCTTTTCCTTGTGTAAAAGGAGTCTTTTTAGACCTTATAAATAGGTTGCCAATTTGGCTTATTTTCTAAGACGAATTTTAATGCATATTTGAGTATTTTGAGAGTTAATTCTCCTTCGCTGTTCTACAGCATTCTTCGGGATTTTACAAGTGGATTCTTGTAACTTTCTTAGCGACATAATATTGGTTTCTGGTTCTTTATAACCACGGGGTCAATATTCCACCTTGATAATAATGGTTTCTAGCTCTTTATAGCTATGGGGTCATTATTCCGTGCTTCCGCCAAACTTGAATCTTTGTTTTTGGGTGTTTCGATCTTGCTTCCGCGTAGGGTATTAGGGTCTCGTAACAAGTTCTACGGGGTTCGTATCACTTACCTACCTCCATAACCACCCTCCACCCAAAACCGAGACCACCACCACTATAATCGCCTCCATAACCATCCTCCATGCCGATCGAATCCATAGCAGCCGCCATTCACAATGCATGCCTCCATCCCACCGTCGCCGCAGCCGCCGCCACATTCACCATCCATCTTAGCTGTTTCTAGAGAACCAACCCCGCAATACCCGACATTGTCACTCACCATAGCGGCCTCTATAACCAACTCACCATACCCTCCGCCATCACCTAATAGATCTGTCAAGAAGAGAAAAGAAAAAAGGATAAAAGGGGAGAGGTTGGATTGAGGGTGGCAAATAAGAGAGAGAGAGAGAGAGAGAGAGAGAGAGAGAGAGAGAGAGAGAGAGAGAGAGAGAGAGAGAGGCGAAAAGAAAAAAAAATGATGGAGAAGAACGATAAAATGGGAATGAAATTGGATATTTTATTAGTTATATTAAGGGTATTTTTGGGTTAAATAAAAATAAAATGATGTGGGTCAAATTTTGTTTAGAATTAAGGATTTAGTTAAAACGTTGTATTTAAGGTTGTCTCCCATATCTAATTAGATCTGATTTGAGGGGTGTCAAGCATATTACCCCTTTAATTAATGAATAACCGAAACCAACCTTTTTTGCATAACTCAAGATAAGTGCACATAATACGTTAATGCAGTGCGTGTATTAATAGAGTACATCAATTTAATACATGATTTAATAAGTTACACATAATCACTGACGGAACTTCATGAGGGTTGGGGGGCTTTTGTCCCCCCAAGAAAAATAATATTTTCTTTAATAGTACTTATTTATATGTAGAAAAATAAAAGAAATAACGCATTTTAAATTTTGTTTCTTAATATTATTATGTTGGCCCTCACCTGAAAATAAGATTTTATTCTACTATTTTAATGTAAATTTACAATTCTCTAAAATTTTCTAATAAAATCTAAATTTCTAATATTTACTAAAGCCCACAATTAAAGAAAAAACATAAAAAAAAGTAAAAATATTGTATTTATTAAATTATGTTATTTCCAATATTTTAGGTTTTCCTTCTATCAAATTTATAAATATTTCAAACAAATTGTAATTTTCGGCAATCTTACATGTTTATTTAATAAACTTACATTTTCTAATTTTTGTAATTTAAAGTTATAATGATTATATATTTCTGACATACTATTTATTCTATATAATTGTTTCATTCAATTAATTTTATAAAAATGTGTACTAATTGTGTGATATCTTATGGGAATATCCCACACAAAAAAAAATCGGGGTGTGGCCCCCGAACCCCCTTGAAATATATTATAGCCCCCCTAAACTAAAATTTCTGGTTCCGTCCCTGCAGATAATGCAATTCATATTCTACATGCATATTTATAATAATCTGAAAATCATATTAGCATAGAACAAAACGTATATGTGTCTACACACTTTAGTTTTATTTATTATATTTCTTGCACCAAATCTTAACACTGATTCATTTTGTAGAAAACTAACTATCCATCTCTTTTATTATTTTGTTTTTCCATGTAACAACGAAATGTGGATTTCTTTTCAAAACAAAGATTGACCAAAACAAAATAACATATATGTTGGCACCAAATTTCCGTTTGTGAAGATTGAAGAAATCCGCCATACGTGGAAATTAAGGATTGGCAAAGATTTGTTTTCCATGTTTATTTTGGAATTAATTAGAGTCCTATTCTTGTAATATTTTTATTAGGACTTAGATTTATTTCCATGTATTATATTCTAGTTAGGTATCTTTTGTACTTATCTAGAATAGAAGTAGAAATCGACTAGGATTCTATTACCTAGTTAATCGATTTCTTAGGGCTCAAGTTAGGTTTAGGGTGGTGGATTTCGTGCCTATATAAGGCCCTCAACCTCATATGAGTCCCATTGAGCTTTAATAAGAAAAATCCCAGCATAAATGCTTTGAAGGGTGCAGCCCGTGCTGCAGCCCTGTCTGCACGGCAGGTGTGGCAACAGAACAGGTTTCTTCTACCAGACCATAAAGAAGATCGGCGTTTCGGGAGAAGTGCTTAAAAGATCTCGGGAGAGGTCGATCCGCCGTTTGAAGGAAGTTCAACATTGGAGGAAGTCCAAGAGTGCGGAGGAGGAATTGCTTTGATTATCAACAAGTTCGAGTCGTGTGCAAGAACGGCGTATCACGTAAAGAGGGAGTCTTTAGTGTTTTATTAAGTCCTATTAATGTACACATAAATCTGAACTAGTTTTGCAAGTCCTCGTGGATGTAGGGTACGTTTGTATCCGAACCACATTAAATTGTTGTGTTCTTTATTCTGCTTTTCGTAGATTTATTACTGTGACAACACAACAATTCTGTTACGTCACCTAATGTCGTAACATGTAGTCTGTCTCAACAGATGAGTGGACTTTGATAGGCATTTAGAAATCAACAATTGGCATCAGAGCGGGTCACTAGATATACTTAGTGTCCGATTTTGGGTTTTGATTTGTTTGCTTTGCTTATTGGATGACGTGTGTTCACAAGGAAGGTTGCGACGGAAGTCTGTCACGGCATTCACCCAATTCCGCTGCGTTGTAACGTGCCCCGTGATGGGACACTCTGATAGAAGACCAGACATGTGAAGAAAAGTGGCATCTGTGTTGCAGGGGGAGTAAATCTCATCTGCAGGGGGAGTTCTTGTTAAACATGGATTCTAACCAATCTATGCCAAAGGGGGAGATTGTTGGCACCAAATTTCCGTTTGTGAAGATTGAAGAAATCCGCCATACGTGGAAATTAAGGATTGGCAAAGATTTGTTTTCCATGTTTATTTTGGAATTAATTAGAGTCCTATTCTTGTAATATTTTTATTAGGACTTAGATTTATTTCCATGTATTATATTATAGTTAGGTATCTTTTGTACTTATCTAGAATAGAAGTAGAAATCGACTAGGATTCTATTACCTAGTTAATCGATTTCTTAGGGCTCAAGTTAGGTTTAGGGTGGTGGATTTCGTGCCTATATAAGGCCCTCAACCTCATATGAGTCCCATGGAGCTTTAATAAGAAAAATCCCAGCATAAAGGCTTTGAAGGCTGCAGCCCGCTGCAGCCCTGTCTGCACGGCAGGTGTGGCAACATAACAGGTTTCTTCTACCAGACAATAAAGAAGATCGGCGTTTCGGGAGAAGTGCTTAAAAGATCTCGGGAGAGGTCGATCCGCCGTTTGAAGGAAGTTCAACATTGGAGGAAGTCCAAGAGTGCGGAGGAGGAATTGCTTTGATTATCAACAAGTTCGAGTCGTGTGCAAGAACGGCGTATCACGTAAAGAGGGAGTCTTTAGTGTTTTATTAAGTCCTATTAATGTACACATAAATCTGAACTAGTTTTGCAAGTCCTCGTGGATGTAGGGTACGTTTGTATCCGAACCACATTAAATTGTTGTGTTCTTTATTCTGCTTTTCGTAGATTTATTACTGTGACAACTCAACAATTCTGTTACGTCACCTAATGTCGTAACATGTAGTCTGTCTCAACAGATGAGTGGACTTTGATAGGCATTCAAATTCAACAATATAAAATGTTAGACTTTTATTAAATTTTATGCGAAAAAACTAATGACAAGATCTTGAAATCGAATTCATCTGAAGAACACAACACATTATGCTAGAGTATAGACCTACCGTTCGCCATAGATTTCAGTGATGACGTTGAAATGGCAAGCCTGAGTAATCCACCAAGACTCCTCTTTATAATCCTTAAAGCCTTATAGTGATCACTCACTTTCTCCTCTCTAATCTCTTAATGACACAACTTCTAGATTACTTTTAGATGATGGAAGATCACACACTCTTAGAATTACTATACTGTTTTCGGTGTGTTGTTATGGAGTGTGCCGTGTCCCTTTTACGATTGAGAGGAGAGGGCCACAAATATGAGTTACAAGATGTTAATAACCAACCATCATGGGATTCGTAAATAACATTTTGTAACACTTACTAACATATCAATCTATTAAATTTATCAACCTTTAACTCTTTAAATGAAGAGCTTTACGTTAACAATATAATGAGGTTAATGGACCATTTTATAAAATTTTAGATGGAATTCCATCAAATGTAACCATTTAAGTGCAATTTATTTTGTAATTATGACCCAATAATGGTGTAATAATATATGATACATAATGGGTTTCTTTGATGTGGAGTTAACTGCAAACCACATGTAGTGGCTCTTCATGTAATGTCCATTAGTTTTTTTATATTGTAATAATGAGCAATATTTATTTCCAATTAGATTTCTGACATTTACAAATTTGATTTGGAATATTGGTTGTAACAGGACTTTGGGCAAGCACATTACTTGTGCAATTATATAACTATTTTTGTTTTAGCAACTTTGTTTTTTTTTTTTGTTTTTTTTTTTTTTTTTTGACTTTTTGAAGTGGTTTTATTTTTAGAATGGGAAATTAAAATTGATATACTTATTTTACTCGTGGAAATGAATAATTGTTTTTTTCAAATAAAATTGATATAGTTATTTAATGTTAATTCATATTATATATTGAAATATTTTTTTTATTTTGTATATAATTGGTCAATTATAACTGATATAATTATTTAATGTTAATTTATTTGACATATGAAAATGATTTTTTCTTTTGTTTGATTTTTTAATTGTAATGCAGTGGCCAATGATTATTGATATAATTATTATTATTTTGTAGGGTCCATTTGATATACACCCCTCATATGGAAAATAAATAGGGATAGGTCCACCCTTAAAATTCTTTTTTTGAGATAACCCCTGGAGAGGGAAAAGTACTATTGTGCCCTTATTCGCAATTTTCTCCCAACTGCATTCAACATTTTTGCTACTGCATTCAGCATTTTCGTTTTTTTTTATAATTTTTTTTTAATAATTTTTATTTCCCCGAAAAGTTCACTGTTTCGAATATGACGACTATATATGATTGTATAAGACTAAAGACGACTATAGTCATGTACTGTCTTTTTACCCAAAGTTATGGTCGACCGATTATGTATATCGTTGATTTTATAAAAAAAAAAATTCATCTACATCACCAACAAAATTCAAAATTTGAATAATGATATTAT